CCGATTTCGATCTGTTGGTGAAATCTCATCTCAACAATGCTCCTCTATCGTTTTTAGACGATCAAAGTGCTGGAGGCCATGACCGTGAAAGTTCAGCGGATTCAGTGATCCTGTACGCGTCCGCGCTGTTGAGGCGAAATCCGACTTTCCCAGGTATTTGGTCACTTGCTGTAACAGCTGATTTCGCATTCTTTGTAACTCTTTTTGTTGAGCTGTTTTTTTATTTTTTCCGGCTTCTATAAGGTTTCTGATAATGTATTCTCGGCAAAACGTCCAAGTTTTCAGTCGGCATGATTGGGATATTTTCTTTATGAAGAACAAGCTCAACGAGAACAAGCCAGGTGAACGTCCCGATACAATCTACCTTGCCAAAGTGCCCATCAAGTGGTTTTCTGTATGTTCCTTTTGTTTCATTAATTATCGGGTCACCTTCACTGCGGATGTTCTTTGTTCAGGAGAAGGGTTCCGAACTTCCAAGTGAAGACATTTTGAAAACTGCGATGGAATCTTTTGGAAAAGTACGACGAGTGGACATTCCTGCTTGCGATCCGCTAAGAAAACAAATGAATCCTGAGATCAGCGGTATCAAGACTAAAGGATTCGCATTTGGACCGGTTAGTTAGTCCTAGCCTTCCACAGTTTGATTCCATGTGATCTAAGCCATCTTTTTGAGAGAACAGTGGTTCCTATTTCCACCAGTTATACTTGAGGCACATTTGTGCTGAATTTGCCTAGAGTACAGCGTGTGCTGAAAGTGCTGAAAGGGCGTATCATCCAGTTTCGCTTGTGCCTCATTTTCGCGCTATTTAGAATGTTTTCTGAAGAATTTCTGGACTAGTCTTCCTTAACGTCAGGAAAAGCTAGAGTTGCACTTGCTAGAAGTGCAATTCGGGATATAGTTAGGTGCGGTATTGGCGCGGAGCTCTCAAAGCACCTAAAATCCCTGCACGTTATTTCATTATTACTGTGGATTAACGGCCAGGATTAATTTTTCGCCGAAGTATACGTAGTTCTAGAAAGTGTAAAGTTTTCTCCCTCTCACATCAGCGGAGCTCCTTCATTCTTCAGGCGTGAGCACATTTAGACTTCGCGACAATGCGCGACTATTCGCTGTAACGGACGTCAACGCGCTACGATTGCAGCGGCTTTCCAGTTCTAAAGACGCAAATGCAGCTGCAGACGGGGATCGATCAGCGCCGCCCTAGTGGCCAGTGCCGATCGATATCAGACTGCGTGATTGAGCAACATTCTCTATACTATCTCAATAGGTGAGCGGGCTGCGCTGATGGATTCCCGTCTGCGGCTGCGTTCGCGTCTATAATGTTGGTGCGCTACTGCAACTGTAGCGCGTTATAGCGCATCATCGCGAAGCTTGAACGCTGCCTGTCCTGATCCCCTTGTTAACCAGTCGTTTTTTTCTGCTCTTTCCAGAACTAAACGCGATTTCTATAAATTCTTTTCCAAGCCGGAGGTATACACTCTTGTTCATTGCGGACGCTAGGCGTGTCGGAGGACTGGGTTAGGCGCGGGTCACCTTGTCGTACACCAACTGCTGAAGCGAGTAACCGACACCAATTAAAGAAAACAAGCTGGCATCGCCTCCAAACTCGGCCACCGACACGGCCCAGCATCCACAGTGAACAAGGCTGCATGTCTTATAATGATGACAGCTTTGTTTTCCAGGAGCTGTTTTTTGAAGCTTATGTCCAATATGTCGACTACGCTGGTTTTTCCGAAGCCATGGATGCTTTCCGTAATATGAAGTGGACCAAAAGGATCGATGGAAAGGTCTTTCATGCCAATGTGAAGGTCGGTAGAGCTACGTATTATACCTGAGCGGTTTGCGGTTGTCCAATTGGGAACTACCGATGAATCACTGTACAGTAGTTATTGTATGGCATTTGCTTTCTGATGGGAAATTTCTTCACATTTTTGTAATAATTCCACCGGGAGGGTGGTACCCTCTTTTAACTAGAAAAATAGACATGTGTATTACCTCGGTGAAAGTTTTCTTTCATGGACGGCGATGGTGGCTGATTGCGAGCGTCTAATCTCAGGTGGACTTCGATCGTACAAGGCATTTAAGTGATGCGAACATTAAGCGAAGGGAGGCCGAACGTGAACGAATTGATGCCGAAAAACGGCGTGTTATTGAGGAGGAAAAACGTCGAATGTAAGCTTGGAGTGCATGCATTTCATCCACTGATTTCATTATCATACTTTCAGAGCAGAAAAAGAGGCGGAAGCAAGGCGTATATTGGAAGAAAAAGAAATGAGAAGGGAGGAGCGTGAAAGAAAACGAAAAGAAAGGGTAGGTCTGATCTGAAGTTAGATTTCTTAAACTCAATCGCGCTGATCACCCGAACACAAGGAAGCGCTTTGCAGTATGAAGCTGAGCGACTGAGGAAAGAAGCCGAAAGACTGAAGCGGGAGGAAGAAGAACGTTTGGCCAAAGAGGCTGCTGAGGCTCTACGTCGAGCGGTCGAGGACAGAGCTGCAGAGTCCAAAAGATTTCTTGAGCTCATGTTTGAGCACATCCAGGTAAGGTTTATCGACGGTTCTTTTTTTCCGGCCGCATTTTGTCAGTATTTGTCTTTCTCTAATATTGACCATCTTTTTCTATTACAAAACCGGCCTGGTACTGTTGACGATCCACCCAATATTATACTCCTGTTTACCTGCCTTTTTAATATGATGCTGCCTTGAAACCCTTCAGTTATATTCCCATTTGTCGCTGCACTTTTTTTGAACTAAAACATGCGGTCTGAACACGCACGATTGCATAACAATTCACTTAATTGCCGCAAAATAG